CAAAAAATCCTTGGTGTTCCTCATAAAAAAAAATTGTTTGGTATTCCTTGGTCTTAAAAAGTTTAAGAAACACTGCTCTAGTACCTTAACTTGCTCCACAGTTAAGAATCCAGTTCAAAATTCAGTTCTTGTTTTTATTATGTTCTCTGGACTTGTTTCAACCTAGTTTACAAATCTTGCCTTTCTGTACTCCTCCTCCTCCTAATGCCTCCATAAACCTTCAGTATTCTGCATGCAAAAGTCTGGAGCACTACATCTCTTCCATTTCCCAGAATCTCACTTATATTTTGAGACAGCTTTCTTTTATCTGACTCATATTATCTGGGAAAGTCTTCCTGAATCTTTACACTTAATTAACTATCATCCAACCCCCTGAACTTTTCTCTTATCTATGCCTCTTGATTTCTCTTTCACACAGTTATGTTATTCTGGACTTGCATTATTTAACTCTACAAATCCTCATCTGTGTCTATAAATATATTTAAAGTTATTTAACTCTATTTAACACTATACATCTAAATATTTATCTTTGTGATACTCCTAAAATGATTAACTGACTTGGCTTAACAATCAAAGACATAAAATAAATCATCAGTCAAAGAAAGTATCATAATTCACCTGTGTTCGGGCAGGCAGCTTCCCTTTTGCATCAGCAGTCAATTTTCCTTTATTAGTAATACGTGCTGCCTGTTCCTTGCAGAAACTGATGTGCCGGTCAGCTGCATTTTCATTAAATCTTCTCTGGCAATATGGGCACTGAATGTAATCTTAAAAACAAAACAAAAAACACCTTAACTTGAAAAAGGGAAGATGAACAACGGGTCTTTCAGGCAGTTGTACAACCACTTTATAGTAATTTCCTCTAGACTGTATTTTACTAGCTTGCTTATGATAATATCTTATAAGACCTATAAGACTAATTAAAATTCAAGATATATAATTTCTATAGCTGCTAGTAGGAACCTTTGCATTTGAGTGCCCTAATTTATCATTGGGATTTGAATTACACTTTCAAAAACTTTATTATTGAAGTCCCAAAAGATAACAATAGCAATTTCAAGTTTTCACCGATAATTTTGAAACAAGTGAACATTGTGTATACTGAAAGCATTACTAAAAAATTAAGTCACATATGGACCAGGGAAACTGAATCAAAGGGAAAATGTAACTCAAATTAGAGACATTCTTAAACAGATTAATTTGTGCGTACGTTGTAATTCGGGATTAATTTAATCACTGCAGTGACTACAGTCTCTCTTGCTTTGCAAAAGGAATAACTTTTGCTAGCTTTGCAAAAGGTAGGAAAAGCTTTGCTAAAATTTGTAACAATGAAAGATAATCCTGGCTTCTATGTTCAAAGATGTTTCCTTAGAGATGATAAATTTCAAGGAGAAAATATACTTGGGTAAAGTTACAAAGCTTTCAGACCTACATGTCTAAACTCTGCCATTTGACATGTGGATACCAGACTCAACCAGCTACAGTAATCAATGTTCACACAGATTAAATCTTTGGACTTCATATAAAGGAATGGTAACAGAAAGAGAATTAATCCGATATGGTAACATATACATTAATAGCCTGGAAGGCCTCTTCACATAGGTGCTGAGTGAGAAGGGAAAGGAGAGTGCCCTGTATTGGTAACTACCTTTAAAATTACACAAATACTAGCAAATCCACAATAAATGATGGCAGAATCCAAGCAGTGTACCGTAAGAATTACCTTACTGGATTAAAAATAGTATTTCATTTTGCCCCATTCCTGTCTCCAACATTGGCCAGTAGGGATGGTGCTAGATATCCTGAACAAGTAATTACAGAAGAAAATGCTCACGGGGAAGAATTTTTTTAAAAAATCCTAGAGGGGACATGATCGGAAAGGGGGCATGATCGGAAACCCAATGGAAGTCTTCACATTTATTTCAATAGGCTTTAAATCAGACCCTTAAAGGTAATCTTAAGACCTTAAGCATCAGGGTTTGCATACTTTCCAAACTGTACTTGGTTAGTTTATTCTTTGACTTTTTAACTACCCAGCCACCTGGCAATGAGAAATATTGTTATTATTGTCCCATTGCACTGCAGCAGTTAAATGCACATTTTCTACAAGAAACTTGATCAAAACACAGATAAAGGTAATTTTTCAGCCCTATTAGGCTATTGTTCATTGGCTTACAGAAGGGACTGCAACAAAACATATGAGAACACAGTCAAAGTGAGCATTCAATTGGTGGAAACACTAATACAGGACTATACCAGTGATATTCTGCATGACCTCAATTTCAAAGATGTACATTTATCCATAAAGTTAGTTAAAATTCACTTGACTTTAAATTTGGAACAATAGTTCAGAAGAGTATAAAATTTCAGTCCAAATTTTGGAACAAATAATATGTGAAGTCTTCACTTGACTATAGACAGTTATCATAAAAAATGGCATAACAGCATGAGTGCTACGCATTCTCCTCAACATAATTCTCATACTTTATGGGGCGGCCTGATTCTTGAAGAAAGATTTCCTTTTCCAAAGAAAGGAAACAAAAACCTGACTCATCCCATAGACGTTAGCAATTCTTAGTCAGTCAGACTCCGTAACAGATCATCAGCTATTTAGCTGTTATCAGATGACAGTTCTCTGTACACATTCATGACCATCTGATTCCTTTTTATTCCTTACCAATTCAACACATACAACATATCAAAATTACAAACTTTGATGGAACTTCACCATTTCACATACCTGGATCATATGAAGGTGGAGGAGGAGGAGGAAGTTTTCCACCCTCTTTGAGAGTCTGATCTAGTCCTTTGGCTGCTCGTATAGTTGCTATAAATTCCTCATGCTTTCGTCTCCAATTGGATTGTTTTTTGGGGGGTTCTGGCTATGAAGCCAACAAAAAAAAATTAAGGTGTTTTGGGGTACCTCATTTTATACAACACATTTCTGATTTTATTATGCACTATTTAATACTATAGTGATAGAAATGTAGCCGTGTTAGTCTGGTGTAGCTGAAACAAAATACAGGACTATGTAGCACTTTAAAGACTAACAAGATGGTTTATTAGATGATGAGCTTTCATGGTCCAGACCCACTTCCTACGATCAAATAGATAGCTTCTCCAATTATCACCTCTAATACCATTAACTCACAGACATCTACCCTTCCCCACCTCTAATATCATTAACTCACAGGCATTTCACCTTCCCTTTCCCTGTCCCCCCCCCGCCCCCATCCCCCTTCTGTTCTGAAATGTGATTTGTCCTTTTCATATGTGTTCTTTTTTTTTAAATTGTATCCTTTGGTATATATGGTTGTGACTATTTTCTTCCACAATTTGATCTGAGGAAGTGGATCTGGCCCACGAAAGCTCATCATCTAATAAACCATCTTGTTCGTCTTTAAAGTGCTACATAGTCCTGTTTTTTATTTAATACTATAATATTTAAAATCCTGTCTGACCCTAAAGCAAAGTTATATTTCAAAACACATAAAGAGCTATGTGTTTGCATAAATCTGCAAAGAAGAACATGGGTGACACCTTAAACGAGAAAGATCTGGATATCCAGTTTGGCATAAGGATGACAAAAGTTTGTGTCTCAGAAACACAAAGAGTAAATATTTTAATCAGCAGTATACCTGGAATTTCTGAAAACCGTGATTTCTGATACCCTTTTCTGCTCTCTGATCCCTAGTCCAGAGCCAAGACTGAGTGTGACAGAGTAGTATATCTGCAGTAACCTGTGAAATCCCTTTTATTCTGTAACTTCTATTTTGATTTTGTGCCATGTGTGAAACGTGTAACTTTGCAAGTCTATTACAATGTATCCTGTCCAGAAAACATGCTTGTTATCTTGAAGGATTCTTGCTGAGAAGCTATCACAGAGCAGTCTAAGGCCAGAAACTTGGAGTGTGCCTCAACTGCTGGACTAAAATCATAGAACAATGAATTTTCTACACAGTGGCATCAGTGTGGTTGGTAGATTTGCAACTGTTCAGCCAAAGAGGTGAACCTCAGGACTTCTCTTATTTTGTAAAGATCTGTAAATTTCTAGTGCTTTTCAAAGAGAAAAGTGACTATGGCTAAGAAATTCCTTAGCTAAGCCTGTCTTCTTTGCTTTCCTGTAACTTTGTCCCTGAAAGGTTTATACCCACAACTAAGTGGAATTCTGAGATATTGGTTTCAGGGTTTGGGGCAGCTGAGACTACAGAGTCCCAACATCATAAGAAAGAGTTCAGACGTGGAGTCTAAACTCTAGAGACCCAGATCTAGAACAGTGGTCAGAATCTGCCCAGACCCTGTTAGAGGAATGTTGGACCCAGTGGTTTTGTTCACTCATGTCCATCCAGAGAAAAACTAGGGCAGACTGGCACTTAGAATAGCATACTAATCTTGAATAGTATACTAATCTTGAAAACATTTGCACTGGTCCATCACATTTCACAATTATGTCATTCTGATTACATCATTTTTCTTTCTACATTTTAATTCCAATATGATTTTAGCAACCAGTGTCTTATTAAATGCTACAGGTTACTACTTTATATCACTAGAAAGCTGGGTCTGTTTTAATCTAATCTAAATTTTTACAAGATAGTGGACTTTACAATTATACCGGTTTCTTGATCTAACTGTATGTTTTGGCTAAGGTTGTTCTGACTGCCACATATGCATTACCACCAGTGGTATTGCTTGCACACAAATAATTAACTAAGCACAAAATACAAGCCCAAAAATCATAATATTCAGAGGCTATCTACCTACCCGTGGTTTCAGAGGTTTTACTGTGGAAATATCAGTTCCTTCTGCTCTCTGTCTGCTGGAATCAAATGCCTTCCTTTTCCTTGTAGCAGTTTTTTGGCAAATGGGTGAATGCTTTTTCTGTAAAAAGAAGAGGGGAAATGTATGCAATATTTATACAAACAGCATGAAGATCTTATTAGAAAGTTCAATCATCAGATAAAAAAAATAACCAATAGCCTTCTATTTCTCAAGATGATGGGAATGATTTCACCTAAACATTTATGCCACTTCTTGTTGAATTGTCAGTCTTCTCTCTAAAACACACAGCCATACCAAGTGTTGAGAAAAAAGGTACAAGCTCAAAGCAAATACATTATATGGATAAATAATTACTGTCATTGCATACAGAAGTTGGATGATTCGAACCTCAATTTGCGTATCTTCTTACATTTTTCTTCCGAAAGAGGCTTTTCTGACATTTGTCCCATCTATACTGGGCCAAATGTAGGGGGGAAAAGCCTGTTTCGAAACATCCCTTCTTCCTTGTAGAACGAGGTTTACAAGGAGGCAAAAAAAAAAACGCATCTGCTTTTCTGAATTTTTTTTTCAGAAAAGCAGACGCATTCCTTGGATACTTCTGGTATCCCAGAAAACTTTGCAGTCTAGACGTACCCTAAGTGAGAGGAAGCTTGACATTAAGTTCTTCACTATAAAATGAATAATAATAAAGATTGGTGTTAAGGAGGACATGCTCACACTTCATAGTAACGCAGATCGGGGATGGTTGACAAAGTTCACCCTTTCTCAATTTAGTACAGGATGATATGTGGGCTTACATATTCAGAAGTGACTAGTAATTGTAAGTGTCCTTAAAAAGGCCTGATTTTCACTGGAACTCTGAAAATCAGGTTTGTTTACGGTGTTTTAAGTAGAGTACCCTCACAAAGCAGGAACTAAACGTCATTAGTAACTTTTGAAAATGTAGACCCGGATGCTTTGCTGCTCTGACCACATCAGAGGGATCAACACAGGATTCTAAGTTGAGAAACCTATTTCAAAATAGGGATGTTACATTTAGATTAATTAAAAAAAATTGAATAGTCAGTGAGATATCCACTGACTACTGGATTAGTCTATAAGGGTGCCTCCACCCTTGAACTGCAAGAAGAAGAGGGGAAATGTACGCAATATTTATACAAACAGCATGAATCTCGGCTCTTGCTACAGTTCAAAAGCAGAAGCCCTGCAGGAAGCATGGGGCTTCCTTTTGAAATGTACAAGAGCCTCATTAGCCCCACTGGGGTTCTTGTACATTTCAAAAGCAGAACTGCAGCAGAAGCAGCGCAAGCAGACACTGCTTCAGTCCCTGCTTGTACCATTTCCCTCTGTGCCTCTACTTCCCCTGTCCCCCGCAGAGACATTGATGGGGGGAAACTGGCTTTTAAGCCAGCTTCCCCCCAGCCGCAGCTCCTACTCCTCCCCACTTGCTGCCTCTCTCTGATAGAGGCAGTGGGGGGGAGAGGGAAGAAGCAACTAGTTGCATCACTAGTCGACAATCCGATAAACTGTTCATCCAAAAGTTGACTAATCTCTTACATCTGTATTTCAAAAGCAAATAGAAAAAGATATTCATTTTACTCACCAGTGCTGTTGGAAAGAATGTCCTTCCACAAATCTTGCATGGTAATAGATCTCCAGCTGATTCGGCCAAAAAAAAAAAAAAAAAAAAATGCATATTTATTATAAACAAACTGATTTTTTCCAACTTTTTGACAACACTTTGGGTATGTAAAAAATCTTTTCTTCCACCTTGCCCTTGCTGACTTAATATATTTAGTAGGAATGTGTAACTAGTTAACTGGGAGCAGCCTTCAACCTGGTCTGGGAGTCAGTGGTCTTCCACACGGCCAGAAGCGGCAGACCAGGGGTGAGGTGCTGCCAGCTCCCAGCCCTGCTACTCCAGGGCTGCCAGAGAGGAATAATCAATTCCACAAATAGAAGATGAGAAATGACTGCCTATGAATAAGTACTGCAGAAAGAAATCTGGGAGTTTTAGTGGATCACAATATAATACCATTGCGAAAGTGGGGGGGTGAGATGTATTAGCAGGAGTGTTGTAACCAAGACACAAAGGTTAATTCTTCCATTCTACTGAGGAGTGGAGTACTGGGCACCACTTTGGTAAACATGTAGACAAATTGAGGAAAAACAAGAAGAAAGAAACAAAAATGATTAAAGGTCTAGACAACATCATCTATGAGGAATAATTGAAAAGAAAAAAAGGTTTAATCTGGAGAAAACAAAAAGGAGACATGGACAAAGAGGAATAAAACAACAGTCTTAAAATACTTAAAACATTGCAAGAAAATGTAGGGTGATAAAATTGTTCTTAACAGAAGAGGACAGGAAAAGGTGGCTTAAATTGAAGCAAGGAAGTTTAGACATTAAGAAAAATTTCCTAATGGTAAGTGTTGTTAAGTACTGGAATTAATTGCCAAGAAAGACTGCGGTATTTGCATCATTGGAGCTTTTTAAGAACAGGTTACACTGTCACAAACACCTGTCATGAAAAGTCTAATTAATTATTGCTGCTTCAGTGCAAGGGACTGGACTAGATGATCTACTCAAGTCCCTTTGAAGTTCTACATGTCTATGATTCTATATTTCACATGTTTAACTTACTAATTTTTGTCACTCTTTGGAAAGAAATATTATTACATGAGCAGGTCCTTTATCACAGCATATGTAACCCACATTTCTTTTTATAAAAATAATTTAAACTATTATTTTCTAAGTGCTTGCAAATTGATTTGAAGTGACAGTTGGCATGATTTGTTCTTCACACATCCATGTCAAAACAGCCCAATAGCTTTCTTTGGCAGGAGAACAAGCATTTTGGATAAGGGGGAAGCAGTAGGTGTGGTATATATTGACTTTGGTAAGGTTTTTTGATACTGTCAGACGTGACTTTCTCATGAACAGATTAGGGAAATACAAACTAGATGGACCTATTATAAATTGGGTGCATAACTAGTTGGGAAACCATTTGCAGAGAGTAGCTATTAGTGGTTCAGACAAGCTGGAAGGATGGATTGAATAGGATAATGCAGGGGTCAGTTCTGCTCAATATCCTCCTCAATTATTTAGATTATGGCATAGACTGTACTTATAAAGTTTGTGGATGACACCAACCTGTGAAGGGTTTCAAGTGTTGGAGAATAAGTTTAAAATTCAAAGTGATTTGGACAAACTGGAAAAAAGATCTAAAGTAAATAGGATAAACTTCAATATGGAAAAAAAAATCAAAAGCACTCCACTTAGGAAGGAACTATTTTGTAACTACACATGTACAAAATGGAAAATGACTGTCTAGGAAGGAGCACTGTCGAAAGGGCTCTGGGGCTCATACTGGATCACAAACTAAATAGGAGTCAACACTGCAAAACTGCTGAAAAATGCAAGCATTCTAAAAGGATTGTTAAAATATGTTTATTTTGGTAAACATGTACTCGCTGAAATTTTCAGTGGATACATGTTTACACGCAGAGGGCTGGGGGAAATGCAGCGCAGGGGGGCAGGTAGCTCTGCAGAAGCCAGTACACATGGGAAACTGGCTCAAAAGCCGGCTCCCACCCGCCAACCTGCTCCTGGAGAGCTGGCTTCTGACTGTGATACTGACTCCCCGGAAGCTAGTGCGTGTCAGGAGTCAGCTGCCACCCCATAATGCAGGCTCTGATAGACAGCGCAGGGTGGCAGCTGGCTCCCTGGGAATGGGACAGGAGCCTGTGTACAACCATTTGTGATGATCAATAAGCCCGGGCTTATTGGTTAATCACTTAAACAGTTCTTCCATTACATCCTTAGATAGGACAAGAAGCAATGGTCTTAAACTACAGCAAAAGCAATTCAGGCTGGATTTCAGGAAAAACTCCCTATCAGAATGGTTAAGTACTAGAATAAATTGACTTGGGAGGTTGTGGAATCTCTGTTGTTAGGGATAGAAGCAACTAGTTCACTATCCAATAAGCAAATGCCAGGCTCTTGCTACATTTCAAAAGCAGAAGTGCTGGGAGCCTGGGGCAAGCTGGAGACTCAAATAGTCCCCCACTGGTTACACATGGGGGCCAGAAGGGAACTGTTTGAATCTCTTATTGGCCCCACACTCCCAGTGGCGCTTTGCTTCTGAAATATACAAGAGCCCTCCGATGGCTGTTGTATATTTCAAAAGCAGGGAGTACAGGCTCAGCAGGAGATTGCTTGAGTCTCCCACTGGCCATGCTCCCTGCGATGCTTCCACCTTTGAAACGTAGCAAGAGCGGAGAGGGCTCTTGTTACATTTCAAAGATGGAGGTGCCCTTATCGACTAATTGAATAGTTGATACAAATTACATAAACTATTTGATTAGTTGATTAATCTAAATCTAACATCTTTCTCTTTTACTGAAGATTTTTAAGACCATGTTAGACAAATACCTGTCAGGGGATATGTAGTCTTTTCTTGGGCGCAGTGTATTGAATTGTAGACCTCTTACATTCTCTTCCAGCCTTATTCTGCTTTCTGCTACAACCCAACCAAGTATTATTTGCATTAATCTAACTCTACCAGATAAAAAGTTGAGCTTGTCCACACTTACAGCACTGCTCCAACATTCCCACTAAGCATTATAGTACTACCTATGAGCTTCTCTTTCACTTCTCCAAGAAGTAGTAACTACAGCGCTAGGGTGGTCTACACTAGGGGTTAGCTCATTATAACAATGCTGCTCAGGAGGGTGGAAAAAGTTACATCAATAGAAGTTTGTGATATATACCATGACATAATTAATCATTTATAATATCTCAAGCAAGTGCTTCAAACTTATAATACAATCTAACACAATGCTCTAGATAAACAAGGCCTACAAGATTGCTGGCACCAACCAAAACAATGCCTAGTCCTAGTGTCAATCCCAGGATATCAACTGGCTGCAGCACATCAGCAAGGCATAGCCTTAGGTTGGGAACTCCCCCAAAAAATGCTGCAGAGATGATCAGGTGCTTTTAAAACCTGGAAGCAAATGTGTGTCTACAAACAGCCAAGCACTAAAGGGTACGTCTAGACTACATGCCTCTGGCAACAGAGGCACGTAGATTAGACTACTAGGCATAGGAAAATGAAGCTGCAATTTAAATAATCTGGGAGATGGACAAATGCCTTTGATGTCGAGGGAGGCATGTCCAGACTACTGCACTGAGTGGACAAACGCTCAGCTGATCGGCTCAGCTGGCAGCCATGTACACTTAAATGAAGTGGCGATTATTTAAATCACAGCTTCATTTTCCTATGCCTGGTAGCCTAAGCTACATGCCTCTGGCGACAGGTAGTCTAGACGTACCCGTAAGCGCCCAGTTGTGGAGCCCACCCTGGCCCCGCAAGGTCACTGCTGGGCAGACAGCCGGGATGACCCGGCCCCCCAGGACACGCCGCGCGGCTCCCCAAGGCGCTGGCAGGCTGCAGTGGCTGTGAGCCGCA